TAAATTCACTTTGTAACCTTACGTTGAGCCTGTTTTGCCCTTGGAGTGTTTTTCCCGGTCCTTATCTCAACTTGTGAACCCTTTGTTAATTTCTTTCTCTCCTCTGCCCAGCTGTGGCAGGGAAGGGTGAATGGGTGACTGTTGTGGGTTCCTGGTGTGCCAGTGTCAAATCATGACACCTTGGAACCTTGGGAAGGGGCTTTGCTTTGTCTGCTTCAGCACCCTGCAGCAGCTCTGCTCTGCAGATCTCTACCCTGTCAGCTTCCTCTGCACTTCTCAGTGAACCGAGAAAAAAGGACAGGCAGAAAGCTTTGCTGCCTTGCTATTTCTGCCCCTGTAAAGCTGATTTATGGCTATGTAGAGTTGAAGATGCTAACCATCCAAAATGAAAAGCCTGCACTAGAGAGAACCCAGTTTTAACAGAAGGGCAGCTCTACATCAGTAGTTCAACCATTACAAAGTTTTGGCAGGAGGTGTATTATTTTTGAGATTGTTATGAAGGAAGAAGCTGCTGCTTAATTGAGACCTGTGCTCTCCAGAGGATGTTTTCATTAATGCAATTACGTGTGGGACTAAGTCGAGAATCTGTAATGACATGAAGTACCTTCCAAAGAATGCTGTCACCTGAGATTAATATTAAAAGCCTGAAAACATGAATTCATTGTGGTATTCTTTTGATGGTCATTGTCACATGTGATGGGGGTAGGATATCTATAAATGCCACTTCTGGTTTACAGGTTTGGGTTTTAATCATCTTTTGCTGCTTACTGTAGGAATGACATTGCTCAAGCTAATGTTACTGTGTCTAGGCGCATGTTTGTTTACTCCTTCAAGTTATGTCAGATTTTTCTCATAAATTGCTTGACATGTGAAGGGTTAGTAAATCGGCTTTTTTGGCTGATGTGTTGTTTGAACAAAAACTCTTAGTCAAAGGCACGTAAAAGCACGTAGGAGGAAAAGGGCAGGGTACAGTGAGCCTGCATTTGCTGTCTGGGAAGATTGCCTAAAACCAGCAGTTTTGGGCTCTTTCTTCCCCAAAGAGCTTTGAGAACAAACTGGGTGTAGAATCAGAGGAAAGGCAGTGAAGAACTGCATTGTGCTTGTGCATCAATTCCTCTTGAAATTGTTGGTCTTTGGTCAAAGCTTTTATTTGTAGAGAACTGCAGCCAGTTTGGCATATTGTGAGGCTGTTTATGGAATTAAGGTATTTATAAATGAAACAGTGCAAAGCGTTTCTGATGGGTATTACAATTGTGCTCCAGGTCCTGCTAATCTGAATGGCAAAATTCCGAATATTAAGGACAGCCAAAATGACAAAGAAATCCTGATTGTTAGTAATGGTAACGTTAAGGCATGCAGCAAAAAACCCATAAGGTCTTACTCAAAACCTTTTTGCAAGTGAGAAGAATTTAACTGGGTAAAAACAGACTGGATTTATTAGGCAAGCAGTGCTTCTTGAATGGCTAAAATACATTAATTGATCAAAGTGAAAACTAAAGCTCATTAAAACCTAAATCGTTGACAAGATTACGTGGTCTTGCTGCTGTCTTCTTAAGCACTGTTACTATGTTCAAATCATATCTGTTTTAGATTCAGAAAAAGGCACTAAGTTGCCTTGCATAATTAAGGAGCTCGGCTAAAGGCTTTATAGCAAGGAACTCCTTACTGATGCTGTGTTCAGCAGTCCTTGCTCACAGTTTCTGCTGCAGAGCTGTATTAATAGAGCTTTTACAGCAGGGATATGTACTATAAAAATTCAGTGATAGAAACGGAACATGGGGGAGTTGTGCTGTAGTGTTTGGAAGATAAAAACAGAAGGAGAGCTTACTAATACAAGCACAGTAAACTCATCTTCATTTGTGTGAGCCTCCCTCTTTATTTCTGGTAGATTCAATTTGTCTTGTGGTAGTGCTGACTGGGTACACTGTGTTTGACTACATGGAAATGTTTCTAACCTTTCTCTCAAAAAAAACCCCACCCCTATCTAAGAACTGTGTAACTTATAAAATAATTTCTATAATATCAGAGCACTAAAAAAACTTGCTTTCTTTTTCCTCGAGTGGGAAGTTACACTGTGTGATGTGCTGCCAGATCTTACTTGTTCAGGAAATGGTGAAGTAGAATGATTAGGCCTGTCTAATTCTATGCTTGGCAGTTCCATTGCTGAGTGCATGGGGGATCTGCATACAAGTATTTCCCAGATCACTTGGGCATCCATGAAAGCAAACAAGTTGAGCTGCTACTAATGAGCTCCCTGAAGATGTGTTGGGTAAACAAGGTGTACATTATCTGTGTTGGAGGTGATGTTTGCTAGAGTAATTTCTATGGCATAAATGTCTTCGAGACTTAACTCCTGATGCAGCTGTAGCAAAGGAGGACTGGACAGATTTAAGTGCTTGAGGTTAAAGGATGTTGCAAGGTACTTTCTCAGTCTGAATCCCTGCAGTGGGCAATCAGTGTCTCTGTATCAGGTAATTAGGAAGACAGCCACAGAATGGTGGTGCTGTCTTGTAAAAGTGGCACTTGTTCTGCAAGGCTGTTAAATGTGGCTGTGCCAGTGTAAAGCTCTGGCACTACGAGATCGTGTACATGTGTTACCACACCTCAAGTGAAACCTGGTACACTTCCCTCAGAAATTCCAGAAGACTGGAGGCATTATTGGCTCCAGACAATCCTAATGAAAACTCAAGAGTTGTAAAATTACTGGTGCAGTATACAGATTGATGCCTATAATTTCTGTAAGAGAAAATGGAAACAATTCTCAGAGTTCACTCAGGAGCTAATGTGGCTTGTCAAGTGTGTGTTTGGAGACAGCTCCAAGTGTGTTACACACGTGCTTGCAGGTGAGCCTTAGTGAAGAGCAGTGTGGCTCTGCATCGGGTGGGTGCTGCTGTGGGGAGCCATGGAGAAATAAATCTGTGTCTGGAGCAGTAACCGTGCTCCCTTCTGACTGCAGCAGCTGAAGAGCTACACTGGACTGCCCAGGGTGTGGGGACAGGCCATGGTTACGTGGCTTTTCTGCAGTGTCTCGGCACTTCGGAGTTGCTCAGCTTCGTGCAATTGGGTAAGGTTTTTTTGAAGTGACTTGTGTTTGGGGTGTAACTGAGAGGTTTTTATGTGTGTGTGTCTCTGAGTTCTCAAATTGTTGATGCTGAGGTAGGTGAGAAAATTGTGGTGATGCAGTAGCTGCATTAGAAAAAGAATACTAGGAAATTAAAAGTAGTACAAAGAGAAATGAAAGTTTATTGATATTGCGCTAATAATAATATGGATTATCAGAAGACAGTATTGTTTCTGGGAAATACTATTCCAGATTAAATGGGGGGGGAAAAAAGAAAAAAACAACAACCCGGTAATGTTTTGTCAAATAAGGCACTTGGAAGAAAGTAGGAAAAAAAAAAAAAAAACAACACCAAAAAGCCCAGCCAACAAAAACACATTCACCTCTTATTGACCTGTTACCCTTAGGTGCAGGTAAACATTCCAGGACCTGGAGTTCATTCAGTTGATCGATCTGTTGTTTCTTTAAGCAGTTTAGTTGTTTAATTCAATTAATGCTCTTATGTCCAGGACATGCTGTAGGCGTCTGTAGTTCTGGTAGCACTGCTGACTTAAGCCTGCAGGTCTCTGCTTTTCCAGTTAATGTAAAGCTGTTAAATATCTAAGGAGGACAAATAAAAATAGACCTGTGACCTAGAACATTTTGTCGTCCCTTTGAATTAAGTGCATTATTGTTCGTTTAACTATCTTCAGGCAAAATAAGTATGAGGTTGTTTTTAGCCGCAAAAAGTTAATCATTAAAGCTTTGGTCTAAAATTAGAGTAACTCAACTTAAAAATTTACTGGAAGGCAGAGAACATGACAGTCATGTTCTGATTTTCAGCGTCGCTCCTTTAATTGCTTTCTGAAGTGCAGGTTGCATGAAACTGGCGTCTGCCCAGAACCGAGCAGCATACGGTCACCGGCTACAGAAGCAGATGCTTTGGATGCAGCTGGCACAAAGCACTGCCTTCTGCTGAATGTGGGGAAATGAACCTTCTTGGAAAATGGCACATTAACGTTATGGCTTGTCTGGGAAGAGCTTGCATCTATGTTATATTTTCGGTATCTGACATATAGTTGTGAATGAACCGGTGAAATAAACGTCCCACCCTGGACGTCGGTTGGTTGCTGTCCTTGCCTGGAAGGGAAGGAATTGTAGGCTCGGTGTTAATTCCCGGTTTTTTGGGCCGGCCTGCGCAGGAGGCAGGGGTGTCGTTGGGAGCGCTGGCGTCCCTGCTGGGTGTCCCTGCGGTCGGGCGCTGGAGTCCGACTGCGGGACTCGCCGGGTGGCCGCGGGACTCGCCGGATGGCCGCGGGTGGGTTCCCTTAGAGGAAGTGGCGAGCGGCGCTGGCCGCAGGGCTCCCTCTGCCGCTCCGCGCCTGCGCGTCGCGCCCTGGTCGCCCCGCCCCGCGAAGCCTCCCATTGGCTGCGGCTCGGCGGGGGCGTGTCCGCCATAGCCTTCGTGACTGCGCCCCGCGCTCGCCTGCAGTCGGGCGCGTCCGCAGCGAGAGTGACGCGCTCTCGGCTGTGTTCGGCTGTACTCGGCCCCGCTTCGCTCTCGCCGTGCTGCCCGGGCCGCACCGTGCGCGGACACTGACGGCCGCCGCTCTCTTGTGTTTGCCTTAACAGACTCTTGAATCACAGTAAACACCTGCGCGTCTCGGCGGCTTCAGGCTCTGAACTGCCTTCACTAGTGCCGCCGCCTTCTGTCTAATGTGCTACAAGGATGAGCCCAGCATTTGGAGCAATGGAAGTGGAGCACTATTCCAAGGGTGTCCTGCTCGAGCCTTTTGTCCACCAAGTTGGAGGACACTCCTGTGTCCTCCGGTTTAATGACAAGACCATCTGTAAACCTCTTATTCAGAGAGAACACCAGTTCTATGAGACTCTCCCAACAGAAATGCGTAAATTCACTCCACAATACGAGGGTAAGTTACCAAACCTTTGAATGGGGTTGGGCCTTTCGTTTCTGTTAATGCAAGTGTGCTGTGCTCTCTGTTCTCTCTGAAATCTCTTCTGTGTGGAAGAGATTTTAGGGTTTTTTTCATGTATTTTGATGTTGTCTGAGGCAGGCTGTGGAGATGCAGGGTGGAAATGCTTGCCAAGTTGGTGTTTGGGCTGACTAACAGCATTAGAGTAGAGCAACTCTGCTGGTGATAGCCCATATATCTCCCTTAGGCACAGGTAAGTAACTAACAGCTTGAGAGCATTTTCAGTAATTATCTGCCTTTTTTTTTTGTTTTGGGATTTTTTTTTTTGTTTTGGCTTTTTTGTGGATTTAAAATTTTTTTCTTTTATTTTTTTGCCACTTGTTTAATGTTTGCTTACAAAGGATTTGTTAAGGATGGATAATAGTGTTTTATGTAAGCTTAGTTGTGATCTCTTTCGTGCTTTGATTTTTCTTCTGACTATCATTTCGATGGCAATAAATACATGCCAGTAAGGTGCCTTTTTGAATACTTGCAGTGTTATTTCTGCCATTAAGGAAATGAAAATTCATGGCATTTAGGTAGGCAAGGATCAAGTAGCTGTGATGAGGCTGAGTCAGAAGTTATGTAGGAGTGGAAATTCCAGTTCTCCTAAGAACTGAACTAGTTAACAGGAATACTTCTTTTTCCTTCTCCTATTCAATCAACTGCTGCCTGATGATTAATAAATAATATGTCTGAAGCACTTTTTTAAAATGGAATTGCTTTTTAAAGCACATTGATTTTAACAACCGTGATGGTAATGAAGTTTTGTGTTCTGTTTGTGAAAGTGATGGAAGACTTCAGTGATGTTTCAGAGTTAATATTCTCTACTCATTTACAGAGACTTTATGCCATGTCTAATTACAAATTCTGTTGGACTGGAAGAAAATCTGATCTCTGAATGATACTTTTCAAAATGTAATAGAACAATTGTACTAGTGTATGTGGCTTTCTGGGAAGTATGGGGAGGGAAGGAGCCTCACTTGGTCCACCTCTGTTTTTTTTTTTTCCAGAGTAAAGGCAAAGAAACCATTTGCTAGCTGGCTCCCCCACCCTTTTTCCCGTTGTCCTTTCCTTTGTGACAGCGGGACAGTCAGAGTTTCTGTACTCCGTGCTCCAGCCACTGCAGGTCTGGGAGCTGCCTGCCCAGCTTGGAAATTCCAGTCTCTCACCAAGACCTCTCCCCTAGCTAGTGATGAGCTGCAAGAACTGTGCAGGCTGATTGATCTGAAATAGAGGACTGGAAAACAAAATAAAAACCAATTCAGATAATTGTTATGGCTTCTCCATTAACCCCTGAGACTTATTCGTGTAGCACTGGGCACATCTGTCAATGCTCCACTGAGACTCTTAAAATGCAATGCAGTATTCTAGAGACTCCTGAGGGGAGGATGAGGAGAAAAAATGCTTTAGGGGTTCACCATGTTTCTGTACCACAAACAGATTTGCTTTGTATTGCATTTTTGTTACTTATTCCACAAGATTGCTGCATAACCAGTATCAATAAAATATATTCCAAAAATAGAAGAAAATGTATCATTAAACATGGTGATTTTAAGTGGAAGCTTTTGGACTAGTTTCTATTGTAATGTGACGTTTCCCTTGTTTTGCTCTCCTTGCGCATCTTTCCTTTCCCTTGGGGATCTGTTAACCAAGTATTGCTTGGATACATGCTTTTTGCTTTGCTGTCATGCAAAATTTGAAAAGTTTTTGGTGTGAATTTTTTTTGTGCAGGTCACTTTTCACTGCAAGATGTTAACAAATGTTTTGCATCTCACTTAGAATCAGACCAGTCAGATTTTTTTTTTAATTAATAAAAAAATTTATTAATTGAAATTGTGTCCTGTTATTATTTGATTGTTACTTGACTGTCTCGGAGAGAGAAAATGACCTTTTGTATCATTGTTGTGCCAATATGATAAATTGTCTTTTGTGAGGTGTCATTTTTGTCTAGCTCTTTTAATATTTGTTAGGTTGGCAGATATGAGGTTTGGCCTGTGGCAAGATAGAAACTAAGGATTGGGGTAAGAGAAAAAATAAAGTTGTTGTATTCTTAGTGTAAAAGAACGTGTTCTACAAGGCTTACTTGTCACTTGAACAATTCATAACTGCCTGGGTCCTTTTTCTCTTCAGGTGTGGTATCAGTGAGCTTTGAAGAGGACGAAGATGGAAACTTGTGTCTAATAGCATATCCATTAAATGGGGACCACGATAACTTAGAAAACTTAGATAACTCTGACTGTGAACCCAAAAGTAAGCTATTGCGGTGGACTAACAAAAAGACAATGTTGTTAGAAAATGAGAAGATATCTAAGGAATGGGTCCGGCAGCACAGGAAAGAGGAAAAAATGAAAAGGTAGGTTTGACTTTCAGCTTTCAAATTCTAGTCTCCAGAATTCCACAGAATTGTCCAGAAGTCTTTCACTTTCATTTCCTTTCCTTCTCTTGTTTCTTTTGTTTTTCCTGACCTCTTCAGTGCAGACAAGTTCACTAGTGAAACTAGTATGACCTTAGCCCTCAGTAAAGGCTAGATTGAGTATTTTCATTTTTTTTCTGCTGTGGTCTGTTAAAACAGATTTCCCAGAGTTATTTTTGAACCTTCAGAAAGAGAAAAAAAACCATAAAATAAACAAACCTGGCCATAAAAAAGCACCCCTACAAACCTACAAACAAACAAAAAGCATTCACCCACCTGCAGAAGAACAATAGTTAAAAAAAAACCAACCCCAAACATATTTAAGTGCTACTATGTATGGCATACTTTGTTAGGAATCCTGCTTTATCTCTGCTAGTGACATTTTCCTCTTTGTTCATTCCTATTAATTGTGCTCATCATAAACTCTGAGCTGTGATATGTTGGGCTAAAACCAGTGACCTTAGCAAAGGATAAACATTAAAGTGCATTGCTACCTCTTGCATTACTTCATAGAAGTCATGCACACAGGTATGAGTAGAATTACTACATGTTTTGTAACATTTGGCTGTATGCTCATTCATATTAGTATGGAAGTGGCATTGTAACAGTTGAAATACTACTCATGGGCATCTTGTTCACATGTACAGAGAGGAAAACAAAACTTTTGCTTGCTGTCAATGATGGTCAGCAAAATAGTTTGTCAAGTTAAATCCATTGATAGCCCCTCTTCAAGAGTTTATTTTTCTTCTTGATCTGTAATTTGCTACTTTATTCTGTGTTTCTAGTCACAAACTGGAGGAAGAATTTGAGTGGCTGAAGAAATCTGAAGTTTTGTATTATACTGTAGAGAAAAAAGGAAATGTCAGTTCTCAGTTTAAACACCATAATCCTTGGAGCATGAAATGTCACCAGCAACAGTTACAGCGGATGAAGGAAAACGCAAAGCACCGAAATCAATATAGTATCCTTTCCTGAAAGTACCTCATAACAGTGGAATGAGTAGGGTTCTGCCTTTTATTTCTTCAACATTCCAGATAAGAGTACAGAGCAGGCTTAGCTGCAGTCCCGAGAGACTCTCTGAAGCTGTGATTTATTTGGCATCTTTGAAGGGTTTGCCAGCACTTTCTAGAAATGAGCTTTTCCAGCACGTAACAAACTACCTAAGGTAGGAACATCAGAGAACCGAATTAAAATCTTCACATTGTGCGTTAGTGGACAAGTTTGACAGCACAGTGTGTTTGGTGTCTTCCACAAGAGCAGTTTCTAGTGAGAGTTCTCAAAGGAGATGAGTTCTGTCACTTTTTATTACTGTTTTGATATTGGTGATCTTAAAAACCAGTGTCCTCTTCCTCTTTTCATCAGTTTCTTAAATATCAAAGATGTTCTAGTAGCCTCTTTTTAATGAGCTTTAAGAAAAGTTGAATAATAACAGCCATGTAGGATTGGAGCATGAGAAACAAAAAACTGCCTGCATCCATGAAGGCTGAACCACACTGGGTTTGTGCTGTGGAACCATAGGCAAACATCTCCACCCTGAGCATTCTGTCAAAAACTGATCTTGCTGTAGGCTTGGATGCAACTGATCCATCCTGCAAAAACAGTGGGATCTAAATGCTGAGGTAAACAAATTTCTCATGTGTGAAGGATTTTGGTGATGGATTACTGAAATATCTATGACTAATAAATTATCAAATTAATAGGATTTTTTGGCTGGTACCCTCACCATTTCACTATAGATTATTATTCAGTTGCCTAAGAAGTGTGTGATATCTTTGGAGCAGTAATAATACAGATGTTACTGGCTTTGAATGGTGATACAAACACACAAAATTCTTCACTTCCCACAGAAAAAAAGTCGCTAGACAGGAACACTTCATAATTCAAAGTCAGCTGCCACATTATATTTCTGTATAACTCTGATTGCTTTTGATTTTCACTTAAAGTGGAAATTAACTACTCTCTCTCAACCAGTAAAACTGGAACTGGCTTAAAATAGAGTGGGCATCTTAAGTTTATGTAGCTATAATTTTTCTAGATTACTTTATGCTAGACATGTTTTGGATATGCCTAAAGTTAAGAGTGAGGCACTATAAAATCTGTGGTACTGTTTGTAAAACCTGTATTCCTCATTGTGAGGCTTATTCCTTAACTGGTCAGAATTCATTTTGCTGGAGAACCTGACATCTCGCTACGAGGTTCCGTGTGTGCTGGACCTGAAGATGGGGACCCGGCAGCACGGCGACGACGCGTCCGAGGAGAAGAAAGCGAATCAGATCCGCAAGTGTCAGCAGAGCACCTCGGCCGTGATCGGAGTGCGGGTCTGTGGCATGCAGGTGAGAGGAGAATCATCCTGCGTGGGGTGGCCAACAGTCCTGCACCTATTTCTGTTAGTGGGGTTTGGCCTTTATGTAGTCATCTCACAAGTTGTTACCCCTGAGCTGCTGAGCTTCGTTTGGCTCACAGAGAGGAGTGAGGATTTTGAGTTATCACTGATCAGCTGGAGGTGGCAGCATCTGCAGGAACAACCTGCAGCCCATATTTTGCATCAGTGAGTGCAGGCTCTGAACACACAAAGCCTCCTGCACCTTATCAGCAGTTCAAAACTGTTAAAACTACCGACTCAATTTACATTTCAGGATAGCATAGGGAACAGGTATGGGGGGGCAGTTTTATGCATTTTGAATTAAGCATGTGGAAATTTGTCAAAATATTAAGAAGCAATCAGTTCTGTTCTGTAACTTTAAAAAGCCGCAGATCTTTCTCTGCTTAAGTTGCAAAGTGCAGGCAAGAAGTGCTTGGTAAATGTGATAAGACTTGTTGCCAGATGAGGAGACATTGTGTGGACTTTAACCTGAATTTTTGTTTACTTGTTTCTCTATTCTTAGAGTGACAAATGGGAAACAACATGTTTGTGTTTGAGTTTTTTCCTGAAGTTTCTCTCCTCCTATCCAGTAGATTCCAGGAATGCTAGCAGTGTTTGCTGGGACTTGTTCCACAGCAAGACTGTTGGCATGTGTGCAATGTGGCAGTGTTCAACTCACTGTGCAACTTCAGAGAAGAACATGAGGCAGAAGTGAAAGTGTGGGGGCTGCATTTCTAACCACAGTGTGCTAGGATTTGAACAGGGCATGGCCATTGTTCGCTTTCCAGTGTTGACTTTTGCTGGAAAACAAAGAGGGACTTCAGAAGCACCTGCAATCCTTTCTTGACCCAGATGTTTAGGCATTATTGAACTATTGCTTGTATAGACCAGTCACCTATGCCTTCCTGCAGGAAAGCATTTTCCTGACTTCTTCAAATACAGATGATTAGATTATAGTTTTGTATCAGAATGTTTGCTGTCACTCAGATCCCAGCATGCTGAGAATCAACTGGTACATCCTAGAGTAGAGACAGGTAATGAGCTGAATGAGTGGCTGTGGTACAAGTTGTATCTTGACTTTGGAGATTTTGGCTGCAGCTTTCCAAATCTCACCTGAAGTCCTAGTTCTTACATTCTGGGTGGAAAAGCTCAATCCAAACTGAAGGAATTTTCCACTTCCTCTAAGTTGCAGAGGCACTGCTGGATCTGTTGATAGCAATTTCTGTAATTGTGCAAGAGCAATTTTAGAGAGTAGTATGTCATCTTGTAAAAGCTTTAAGGAGCATGTGTTTTCTAGTTTTTAATTTTTCTTTGTGTTCCCCTCAAGACTTTGGTGTCAGTGTACCAGCAATTTTAACTATTCCTTTTTTCTTCTCTTGTGTTTGTATATGCAGGTTTACCAGGCAGGCACTGGCCAGCTGATGTTCATGAACAAGTACCACGGAAGAAAACTCTCAGTCCAAGGATTTAAAGAAGCACTTTACCAGTTCTTTCACAATGGCAAATACCTGCGCAGGGAACTCTTTGAGTCCGTAATTAAAAAACTTACTGAACTCAAGTCTGTGCTGGAGAAACAGGAGTCCTATCGCTTCTATTCAAGCTCCTTGCTGATCATCTATGATGGAAAGGAAAGGCAGGAAGTTGCCGTTGACTCGGATCCAGAGGACATAGAGGACCTTTCAGAGGAATCTTCAGATGAGTCAGCAGGAGCCTATGCCTACAAACCAACTGCCAGTACTGTCGATGTCCGCATGATAGACTTTGCCCACACAACCTGCAAGTACTATGGAGAAGATAGTGTGGTGCATGAGGGCCAAGACACGGGTTATGTTTTTGGACTCCAGAATTTAATAGATATTATTAAAGAAATAAGAGACGAAAGTAGCGAATAAACAGTGTGAATGCACATCAGTAGAAAGCACTATTGTGACTCTTTGTATTCCAAAATTATTGGCCACTTTCTGGTGGTAGGAATCTTTACAGGCTCTGCAGGGATGGTCCTGTCAGAGTCAGACTTGTTCAGAGGGCATTTACTTACATTGGTGCTAGACCTAGCAC